ACCTGACCCCAGGGGTCCAGCATGGAGCACAGTGCAGCCTGCACACAGTGAAGAGCTCCTGGCCCAGGTCTCCACAGAAGTGGTAAAGTCTTCTACACGCTCAAACTCCACGTTTTCCCTCACACGTGGCAGTGATTCTATCTGCCTCAGTCCCCATCCTGAGGTCTGATGAATTTCGCCTCGGTTCTGGTGCCGCGGGGTCAGTGGTCCTCCATCTGTGGGACCTCTGATTTCTACTCACAGGAGACTGTGGCCCATGAAGTCAGTCGTATCCCACCATCAGCAGCGCTTGCTCAGTTTGAGGAATCTCTTGGCAGTCCATATTAGCAACTGTCAGTTCTGGCTGACGGGCCTCGAGTGAGACGTGACCTGGGGATATTAGTTAGGACTCCTGTTGCTATGACAAAGCACCATAGCCAAAGCAGCTTGAGGGGGAAGGGCTTAGTTGGCGTATAGTTCCATGTTATAGTCCATCATTGAAGGAAGCCATGGCGGGAACTCAAACAGGGCAGCAACCTGGAGGCTGGCATTGATGCAGAGGCCATGGAGGGGTGCTGCTCACTGGCTTGCTCACATGGCTTGCTCAGCCTGCTTTCTTATAGAACCCAGGACCACCAGCCCAGGGGTAGTTCCACCCCCAATGTGCCGAATCCCTCCTCCTGTGTATCAATCACTGGTTAAGGAAATACCCCACAGGCTTACCTACTACAACCCATCTTGTGGAGGCATGTTCTTCTGAGGCTTCCTCTCTGATGACCAGCTTGTGTCAAGTTGTCATAAAACTAGCCAGGACACTAGGCAGCTGTTTCTGTGGTGGCACCTGGGCACTTGGCCAAGCCACCACTCCTTAAGGTCAGGAGTAGCTGTGTCCATCCATCAAGCTATAGTGTCAGAGCATCCTTGGCTGAGCCCAGTAGACACCGAGACACCTGCAGGGATTCTGGCTCTGCCACCCAGTCGTACCCATTCTCTAAACCCAAGTCTTAGGTTTGGTCACTGCTAGCCTGTGGTTTAAACACCAGGCAGTTCACGGTCATAGCCAGAGGGAGGCCCAAGGCCACTCCCAATGGGCTCCAGTTTCAGGAAGAGAGGGCATCTCCTGAAAACGTCTCTTCTTTGTGTTTTTAGGGATGGGTTGGTATCTGTCTTCTGACGGAGTCCTCCCCCTCCCTCCCTCCCTCCCTCTCTGCAGTTGATTTATTTAAAGGTGTGTCAGCACCAAGACCTGATGAGGAGCCAGCCCCTCCTCCCTGCCGATGGCAGCCGGGCCAATAATTCATTTTTTAGCTCATTAGCTAACAGAGGCTGTGAGCAGTGGTCCTCCAGGGCATTGGAATGAGGAGAGGTGATCTACTGCCAGCTCCGCTGCTCTTGAACTGGCCTTCCTTGGGGACAATGAAGCGCATGGCCAAGGGACCTGAGAATAGCAATTGGAGTCGCTGTGCCTTGGCACTGTGGTTTCCTGGGGTGGCAGCGTTGGCAGAATGGAACAGAAACTATTGTCAGCGTGTCCTCTCTCACTGGCGACAGCTGTGGAGAGGATGGCTGAGCCACCATAGCAAAACATCATGTGCAGGCTTCTGTGACTGCAAGTGCATGGTCAAGATCAAGGTGCGTGGTGGGTAGGGCTAGTTGTCTGGGGAGGCCTCCCTTCCTGGCCTGCATGGCCCTTGCGCTGTGCATGGAGGGAGAAGAGGGGTAGCTAGTAACTCTTGTTTTTTATGGACCCCAGCCATACTGGGTTGGAGAACCACCTCAAAGTCCCCAATTAACCTTATCTACTCCCCAACGACCTTGTCTCCAAATGAAGGCCACACTGGTCGCTACAGCTTCCACATGTGAACTTGGAGTCAACCAGTTTGGCTCATGACAACAAGGAGCCTTAGGCTTCTCAGGCCTGTGCATCCACACACCCCAAACTCAGCCCCAGCCACACTGACAGCCATGGGACCCTTTGAATTAACCAAGACCCTTTGCCCCAAGTATCTGGGGACCTCCAACACCCTCCAGGGATCACTAAAGCCCCTAGACAAGAGCTGCTCAGCATGATGAATTCTGGGACTCTTAGAGTGACAGGCAGCCACAGAGTAGAAACCCACAACACAGCATGGGCATCTTTGCTTGCCCATCACATGACACCACGCTGGTGCGTGCTGTGCCTGACTGTAACTGACCCTGAGTGGTTAGAGATAGGTTTTCTCCAGTTTGCTGCTACAGAAGGGCCACTGTGGCCAGTGCGTTGACCACACGGGTATCTGGACAGCCCTGACTTTAATAAGGGTCACCAGACCCATTTTACGGATGGCAAAACAGGTGTCTGGGGGAGAAGAGCAAGTGCTAAGACCATGAGATCTCCGCAGAGGAGAGAATGAAGCCTCACAGTCCAGCACCCATGGGGTTCCTTTTCCCTCCCTGCAGCTGTTGGAGAAAGCTCGCCAAGCCCATGTTGGGGGACGGGGGGGGGGGTGCACTTGTTAGGATGGGCAGTGGCCACAGAAGACAGGTTCTGAACAACAGGGAGAATTTGGAAGTTGGTGGGAGCAACAGAATTCACACCCAGAAACCTCCACTGTCCTGGGCCAGGCTCTGTTTATGAACTAAATGAATTTCAGCTAAAAAAAAAAAAAAAAAAAGTCAGATCTGATGCAGGCACGAAGCCCGCAGCCTCACTTAGACTTCTGGTGAGCTTGAAGGCCAGAGGACCCAGCAGTTGGATTGCAGGGTTTTGTGTTTTAGAAGTGTATGGAGATTCAGTAAAGAGCCTTTGCATCTGATGCTGAAAGCCGCATCACGAGTGGGTCTCGGGATTGTCCTTGGTGGAGGCAGGGACCTGCGCTCAGTCTTTGGCTGGGTATTGGAATATTAAAATGAAATTTTAATCATTGCAGTTAAGACCAGAGTTCTGATGTGAAGTTCCCCTGTTCCCCCTGGATGATCTGGCAATGACTTTTAAAATCAACCGGAGCAGAATAAGACAGTCTGATTTTAATGCCTACCCAAAAATGAGAGTTAGCAGATTGGAAATTGGAGGTCTGGACGTCTCCTACACCATTAGCCCTTCTCATTTAATTCACGCCTTGCTCTTTCTCCTTCCTGATTTATGACCTCCATCAACAAACGTGTAACATATTATAAACAAGCTCCTAAAATAGAATCGGAACCACTGGGGTTTGGGTCTTGCCTCTCCTGGCCGTCCCTCACCTTTCTGCCTAAGTAAGGATGTGTGAGGGTTTTGCTGCCGTTCTGGGAGCCAGTTCATCTCCGCTGTAGCCAAGTGTTTGTCCTGGAAATCTCTGAATGAAGAGTCGGGGGTCACTTGGGGGTCACTCACATGTACCAGGAAGTGAAGCAAAACTAATCCAGATTTACTCCTGGAAGAATCTGTTTGCCTAAGTATTTAAAAACAGATTAGGGTTAACCTGACACTGGGTCACCGGGCGCAATGTAAACAGGGTGCAGGGCTGTAAACGAGGCCTTTCTTCTGGGCCTTGGAAGCAGAAATGGAATGAGTTTTCTTTCTGGAGGGTTGGGGAGGGCGCTTGGTTCTTCCCTGCGGCTGCGGCTGCGGGCTGTGTGCTCTGATTATTGCTGGGAGAGGCGCTGGGTTTTAGAAATCATTGTGAGTCAGTGTCTTACTGAATCTGAGATAATTACAGTGTGTGTGGGGGGGCTTGCTCTCTTCATCGTCCTCGTGAAAAAGCCATGCTCAGGCCTCAGGAACACACCACAGGCTGCTGGGAAAATTCTAAGGGCTACTCGTGAAATCGCAGATCCTCTTACACACACACACACACACACACACACACACACACACACACACACACACCGCCTCTTTTCCTAACAATGAGCCAAGTCTCCCGAGGACTTTGGAGTTCAGTGTCTCATACTTCCTGTCTGTCGTTTTGTTTTGTTTTGTTTTTGTTTTTGAGAAACCAGCACCCATGCCTGACCTTACTATTCCAGAGCCTAAAGGCAGCTCACCAGGAGCCTCTCACTGTGTACCTCGGACTGGTCTGGAATTCACTGTGTTGACCAGGCTGGCCTTGAACTCACAGATCCACCTTTTTCTGCCTCCCATATGCCGGGATTAAAGGCATGCATGCCACCGTTCCCAACACGCCTGCCTTGATCAGTATAAACACAGCGTCCTAGGAGGTTTTCTTGCTCCCTTCCTCCTCCAGCCCTCCTCCTCCTCATCTCTGCAGTGCTCTCTAAGTGATAGGCCCTGGGCGTGGGAGCCATGCCCGGGATCTCCTAGGCTGTGCTGGGAGTTGGGGATAGGACACTGCTGTGTCCATCTCCTCATCCAAGCTTGCCACACTGCAGAGCCACATCCTTCCGGTCTCACCCTGCCCTGTCCCGAGCTTTGCCCCAGCCTCGGAGACTGCCCACTTTCTCTCCATGAGGCTGGGCCCTGGGGCACTTTTCCTCAGAAAGCCGCACTCTGCCCCTCCCTCAAGCCTTTCACAGATTCCTGTGTCATCTCCAGTGTTTCCTTCAGCTGGAAGTGGCAGGACACCCGTGGGGACTCACACGCGTCCCCATCCGGGAGTGTGCGTGAGTTAAAAGCAGAGACAGCAGCCCCTCAGAGGAAACCTCTGCTGCCACCCCTGCCCCAGAGCATAAGGGCCGCTCACCTGGGGCCTTTCTTTTAGGTCAATATAAGCACGTCTTGTTGGGGGTGGGGGGTCCCCTTCCCTCCTTGCTCACAGAAAGCACAAACCTTTGAGCTATGGAGACCATGTTGTGTCTCGGAGGTTACAGGAGCCCAGCAATGACTTGCAAATACACCCCGGACTGGAATCGGGAGTGGATGCTGTAGGCAGCAAAGATGCCACTTCTGAAACCATGAGTGGAGCATTCCCCAAGGGAGCTTTGTCCCCGAAGGAGACTCACTCTGCCCCTTCCCTTACCTCCTAACCACACCGGCTGCCAGAGCAGAGGTCCCAGCCTCGTTCTAACGCCAAGTCCTGAGTGTGCCTGTCTGGTGACTTTTGCAGGGAAGAAAAGGAGCGATGGATCCGGGCCAAGTATGAACAGAAACTCTTCCTGGCCCCCCTGCCATGTACCGAGTTCTCCCTGGGCCAGCAGCTGCTGCGGGCCACTGCGGAGGAAGACCTGCGGGCCGTCATCCTGCTCCTGGCCCACGGCTCCCGGGATGAGGTGAATGAGACCTGTGGGGAAGGAGACGGCCGCACGGCACTGCACCTGGCCTGCCGCAAGGGCAGCGTGGTCCTGGCTCAGCTGCTAATCTGGGTAGGTGGCTTGGGTGCCCGCCACACGCCCAACGGAGGGTGGCGCTCCTGTGGGGTCAGCATGCATTCTGCTACTGCTTCTCCTTCCGGTAGAAGACCACTGTGCCTGAGAGCTGGCCCTAATGGGATTTGAGCTTTCCATCTGGACTTACCTGCAGGAGGGTATAGAACAGCAGGGAATTCTGGGTACAGAGCAGAAATGAAACAGACACTTGTTTGCTCGAGTTTTCTGAAGTGTCTTTCTGATGGCCCCTCTGGTCAAGCCTTCCGGGGGGGAGGCGTGGACTTGTTTCTCAATGCCATCTTCTAGCGGGTGAGGGCAGGGGCATGAATAACTTGAACGGCCTCTAGGAGGCCTTTTGCCAAGCCTCTGAATTTTTATTCTCATAACACAAGAGTATTGGCCCTAGGCACCGAGGTCTGAGGTGGGGGTTTGTCTCCAAGCCTCTCTTGCATTATGTTAATGACTTTCTGCTCTGAAAAAAAAAATTAATTTGTTGAAATGTGAAGTTTGAACTTTTTAAGAAACTGAAATTGGGTAACATGGTTGTACAGAGAAGCCCTGCCTTTGTGGGCTGAGCTGAGATGTTTAATGCCATGTCCCCAGGCAACTTCCTAAACACCTCTCAGGGACATCTGCCACTCATACATACCCTGGGGCCTCTCCTCTGTCCCCACTCTGGTGACAGGGATACAACACAGCTGAAGACTGAGGCATTTCTACATTTACGTGTGCGCGTGTGTGAGCGCATGCGCCAGAAGACTACCTCAAGTGTTGGTCTTCATGAGTTAGACACGTTACGGTTGTTGTTGTTGCTGCTGCTGCTGCTGCTGTTCATTTGTTGAGACAGGGTAGCTATTGCCCTGAGCCGGCCAAGTGGACTAGGCTGGATGGGCAGCAAGCCTCAGAGAACCCCGTCTCCGCCTCCCCAGCACCTGGGAGTGCCAGCTTGCACCACCACACTCAGGTTTTTGTGTTTTTCAGTATATTCTAGGGCTCAAACTCGCGTCCTCTAAATTGGGAGATGAGCCATTTTACTGACTGGGATCTCTCGGCCCACTCTCTTCCTGTTTTTAATCCGCTCTCTGGGGTACAGCAGGAGAATTTGGGTAGAGGCAGGTACTAAGTCGGGCTAATTCAGTATTCAGCCTCACCCTCGTGGTCACTAGATGACAGTTGTGTGTGGCTGGCCGGGGCTGCAGTAACAAAACTGCACAACACAGACACTATGCCCTCATAGCTCTGGAAGCTAAAGACATCAAAACATCCGGGGGTTTGTTTCCCATGAGGCTTTGCTCCTCAGCTAGCAGATAGGACCTCACTGTGGCCCCGTGTGGTTTCTTCTGTGAGTGTGCCTCCCGGTGTCCTGTTCCTTCGGGACACTGGACTTCTCAGCTCGGACAGATGGAGTCCCAGTCTAAAGTGTGGGGGGTGGGGGTGGGGGGGGAACTCTTTAAGACTTGAGCATAGTAATTGGAGGGGCATAACCCGTGTGCACACATTTCCTTCTCACGGTGGCCAGAAGCTGTCAACAACAGTGCTCCATGTTACTTGAGTTTCTGAACACCCACCCCAGCCCACCCCACACCCATACACCAAGTTACACAGGCATGTGTGAACCTATACTTACCATGAGCAAGAAACTTAAAAGTGTGTGTGTGGTGTGTGTTTATGTATTGTTGCTTTTTAACTTTTTAAAGATTTATTTCATTTTTTATTCATGTGTATGTATGTATTCATGTGTAGGTATCTACCAGTGCCCCTGAGGGCCGGAAATGGGGTCAGGTACCCTAGAGCTGCAGTTACAGATGGGTGTGAGCCATCCAGCCTGGGTGCTAGGATCCAAATTCACACCCTGTGGAACAGCGGTTATTTTATTTTTAGGTGTATTCAGGTACCTATAGGGGCCAAAAATGGGTACCAGATCCCCTGGAGCTTAAGTTACAGACAGTTAAGCCACCCCGGGTGGCCGCCAGGAACTCACCTCAGGACTCTAGATCAGCAGCGACCCTTAGCCACTGTGCATCTCTCTGCTGTTTTAGTTGTGAGTGCTAGGTCAGGACGCCAGCACTGACCCCACCCCAGCCCCGTTCCTGTGCCACGTGGCCAAGTGTACTACCCTGGCCTGATCTTCAGCAGGATCATTCAGGCCTTCCCTGGCTACTGAGGAAGACTGGCTGAAGATCAACCTCTCCTCACTGGCTCTGCCAGTGACTACTTTTGGACAGAATGTGCTACAGCCAAGGACGGAGTAACTGACCTAGGTTCGGGTGTTTTGAGGTTACGTGGCTATTCGGAGCCATGCTTTTGAGTAATTTTCGATAATGTAAGAAGATGATCAAAGTCCAGTTCAGTACAAGAAAAAAGCACAAATTATTTGGTTTTATCTCTGAGTCAAAGCAAACTCCTTACAAAGGGCTGGGGCGTGGCTTAGTAGTGGGTCTACTTGGCGTGTGCCAAGCCGGGAAGCTCATCTCCGGTACTAAGGGAAGGATACAGAAAGAAACAGCCAACTGCTGGCAGTCACTTCTTCCTCGCATGCTCATGTGTGCTTCTCACGGACTTTCTGCAGTGAAACGGAGCTGCCGCTGAGATTGTTTTAAATGTTACTGTCTTTTAAATATTTGCCTTTATTGTGTGTGTGTGCGTGTGTGTGTGTGTGTGTGTGTGTGTGTGTGTGTGTGTGTTCGTGTGTGTGTTCGCGCGCCCACATGTAAACCCATTCGGCACAGCAGTCTTGCAGAGGTCAGAGGGCAGCTTGCAGAGGTTGATGCTCTCTCTCATGATGTAAGTTCTGTGGACAAAACTCCGATCTCAGTCTTGACACGAACCCTGACCTCTGAGCCGTCCCCCTGCCTTCCCCATGGGTATACAATTGGAAAGGTAAAACAAGGAGCAAACCTGAAGGCCTCTTTGACATGTCTGTGTGACGTAAATGGGGGTGGGGGGTCTCTCCCCCTAGCCCCCCTAATCTATCCAGCCTGTTCTAAACAGCATCTGAACATCCCCTTTTCAGTCCTCGGCCCCAGTGTCTCAATTTCAGCTCAGTCCACACGTGGGAGTTGAGGCTGGGGCCTCCCCCTGCCTGCCCTCAGGGGCACTGGTGCCCCGTGGACACTGACTTGATCTCTGTTGCCTCTACAGTACGGGGTGGACGTCATGGCTCGCGACGCCCACGGGAACACGGCACTGGCCTATGCCCGGCAGGCCTCCAGCCAGGAGTGCATCGACGTGCTGCTCCAGTACGGCTGCCCGGATGAGCGCTTCGTGCTCATGGCTACCCCCAACCTGTCCCGGAAGAACAACAGCAGGAACAACAGTGGTGGGAGGGCGCCCAGCATCATCTGAGCTCAGCCAGCCCCGCACCTGGGGGCCCGCGCCCGCCCACCCGCCCGCTCCAGACCGCTCCGGACCGCTCCGGACTTCTCCGGACCGACGGTCGGCACAGCACGTGAGTCCCTCAGTCCCCTTCCTCCTCCTGGTGGTCACCTCCACCCACCTGCCACTCACACACCCCACCTGAAGTCTCCAAACCCGGACATCCTCAAGGGGAGAAGAGGAGGCTGGAGGCCACAGCACGGAACCCTTTCCCCACACTCCGGAAGCAGCGCAGGAGGGACCACAGCCTCGCGGCTCTGAGGATAGCACACGACGGGGGACCCCTGTTCCGGTGACCGGGAGCACAGGGCGAGGGGTAGCAAGGAGAAGGGGCAGCTTCCCCTAACTGGCAGTTAAGCACATCAGTACATTTCACCTCGACCAAAAGGAGGCTTGGCTTTCACGTCTTCTCTGGGGAGCTTGACGGCATAAATCCGAAGCAAGCACAGTTTGTCAGGTCTGAAGCTCCTATGATGGTAGGTGTCAAATCAGTTGTAGCTAATCTGTCCAGGGAGAATACTGGCTTCATTACACTCGTACAGTCGGGTTCCTCCAGCATTACCGCTGTTTAATAGAACGTGATTAGTCATCACCGGGAAGAAGGCATATTAGCCGAGGAGGTAGTTACACGGCACGCTCCGGTGATTGCCACGATGTGATTGCAGTGCGCTTAGAAGCATCATATTATCCCAGACATGTCTCTCCAGCCCTTGGAGCCCTCCTTTCTAAATTCACTGTCATAATTTAGTATCTGTTTAATTTTTCAGCCCAAAGAGAGGAAATCAGTTGCCGGGTATTATTTGACTGCAATCCTCCTCCCTTGGTGCAAAAACAAAATGGAAAAAATAAATAAATAAATAAGAATAACTTGGAAATTCAAAAAGAAATCATGAATCCAGCTGAAAATAGCTTCTCAAGTATGCTCCAAAACTAAGTAAATATAGAAAATGCTATTTTTTTCCCCTAAGAGAGATTTTCTGTCCTTTGACCACAATGGATATGTCAGGCCTCAGTCACTCCCGATCCACAAGGTCTGAGTTACCCGCGTTTCTGTCGTAGAGAAGATGTGTGAAAATCTATTTGAATAAAAGAAGTTCATAAATATGCATTGATTTTTGTGCAGACAAATAGCACCTCTGTTAATTTATAAATTGAGCTGGATGGGAACTAATAATGTGCAACTAGTTGAGATCAGAGGGTTACAGATCATTGTGCATGGGAAGTGCCCCCCAGCAGTAAACACTTCCATTAATGTGATAAACAGCTTTTTAAAAGGTGCATATCAGAATAAAATGGGGTACAATTTGCTTATTAACATCAGGAAGGGAAGGGGGGAGGGGAAGGAGCATCTGAGTCCTCATCCCAAAGCCAGGATGTAGAGCCGAGACCACTCTTCCCAAGCAAAAGCGAGGGGCTGTGGCAAGAAGGGGTGATTTGGGGAACACCAGCCCCCTAAAGGCACCCTGTGCGTGGCTGCTGACCGCTCTGGTGCAGCCGGCTCCTGGGAGCCTGTGGACTCGACGGGTCCACCCCGTCTGTTTCTAACAGGATGACTGGTTTGCCATCGTGGGCCACCTTCAGCATGGTGGTCAAGAACACCAAACCATGACACTATTTAGTTTAAAAAAAATGAGGGGGCAGCCTTGCCAGAGAGCCCTCGTGGCAGCGTGGCGGGGAGAAGGCCAGCACACTGGGGGACAGGACACTGGGCAGAGCCACCCCTGGTACCTGTGGAGAGGCTCCTTGCTCTCATATACTGAACTTTATATTTTGTAAGAGTTTTTCCTCTTCTTTCACTTTTTAAAAAAAAAAAATTAAGTAGATGGGAACAGAAGTAAAGCCTTGCACAGCATTTCTCTGTGGGTAAGTGTCTTGTGGAGACCTCCAGTCTCAACACAGCTGGAACTGACCGGTGTCCAAAAACACGTCACAGGTGCAAAAGCCACAGGTCTGAGACTCCTGAGCTCAGTGCCACAGCCCTCCATTTGGTTTTTCATCCTGCTCTCCACCACTGTGTTGTTACTCCAAATGTGAATAGAGAAAACAAGCTGTCATTGCCTATTTTTGAAGAATGCATTAGCATCCGACCCTGCAGTCCGCATTCGCCTCCACGTAGCCTTGACCATAGACGTGTGTAGAGAACACAGCTAGAGCTTAAATGAGATTCTTAAATTATTTCAGTGTAGTTGATTCCCACTATGGGAGTGCTTTTATCACGGGGAGCACTGCAGGAAGGAAGGACGTGGGACCCTTCCTCCAGCTTCTCTTGGGGTGTATATGAGTGTGTACATATTCTTATGTGTTTATAATATGATATTTTCCCGAATGACTCCTTGTTCCACATCGCCCTCCACTGCCTGAATGCTCAGTTGCTCGCTCTGCTCCCCTCCCTCCCTGCCTCCCTCCCTCCTTCCCTCAGTCACTCCGACATCATCAGCTCTTCCTCAGAACACGGCCCCTGCCCTGCAGTGTGAGCTGGGCTGGCCTGTCCAGGAGGCAGCCCACTTCTCCTAAGCCTGAGTCTTGACAACAGAGAATGGTGAGAGGGGCCTCTAGAGCTTTCTGTGCAGATAAAGGAGAGAGGCGGCCTAGCCTGCGCCTCTGTTTCCCCTCCGGATCCGAGTCCTTCCCTCGATAGAGCTTCTTGCTCTCATTTTCCAGCTGACACCAAGGCAGAGGTCACACAAGGATGAGGGGTGTGGGGAAGGGAGTTGGGTTTTTTGTGGAAAACTCCGCCACGCTCAGCGCTTCCGTCAGCGTGAGACACTTTTTAAGGAGCGTGTCAGAAGAAGGTGGTCCGGTGGACTTACTAAAATCAAGACAGGAAGTGGGACAAGTCAGAGAAGCAGGTTTAGGGGGAAGGAGCATGGGAACGCTCCTTCCGGATGCAGTGTTAGAACTGAGACCCCTTCTCCGCCAGGAGCGAGGGCCTCTGGGAAGAGAGATGTGAGAAGCCCCTGCAAACCATGCAAGCTTTTGTGCTCCAGGCGAATTTCCTCTCTTGTTGAGACGTAGTCAGCTGGGGGCCGACAGCAAACGGGCCTGCGACTTGTCCATCACCTGTCCTGGGGAGGTGGTCTAGCCTGAGGCTACCTCTGCTGAACTCCTGATGTCCCTCCCCAGGCCTGTGGACCGTATCGGGAGGAAAGTGAAGCCCTTCTTTCTCTCCCCACTTCTGAGGAAGCCCCCCCCAATTTGTCTTGCTTTACAGAGAAGAGCTGAGCACCGCTCTCCTACCATCCCCAAGTGTCACTCAAGCCTGAAATGAGCCTCCTGTCCTCCAGCCTTGTCCCTCTGCTGTTGGCTCATCAAATCTCCTCCCTGCAGCTCCCACGAGGCTGCTGGGACGCGCGTGTGCACACACACACACACTGTCGGTGCGCTGTTCCCATTAACTTTGAGGATCATAGCACCTCGGGCCCTGGGCTTCACTGCCCCAACTGTCCCCAGAAGAGCATGGTCGGAGGGCTCTGTGGCATCCTCCTGCTCTGTCGAGCCCCACAGTGAGTCTGTGTCTGAACCTGGTGGGCCAGGAACCTCCTGGCCCCGAGCCTGAGCCGTGCTCTTAGTTGCCGAGGTGGCCACCATCCTTCCCTGTATTTAGGCTATTTGATGGCTGAGATGGGCAATCTCCATCGCTCCTGGGGACCCTACAGCACCACAGCGAGGAGGAGGAGGAGGAGGAGGAGGAGGAGGCTGCTTGTGATCAGGGCCTCCAAGCTGCCAGGAGCCTGAGGTTTTTGAGAGGCAAGCCCATGCCTTTTGGTGGGCTCTCCTTAGCTCTTCCGTCTCCATCGGTCACACCCTACAAGGTCCCTGAGGCTTTGCCAGAACCGCGTCAGGGTTGTATTTATGGCTTTGAAGCAAACAAATTGAAAAGCAGTCAGGGAAGGGATTTACAGAAATGTGACACCGATGAACATCCTTCCTTAAAAAAAAAAAAAACCAAAACAGTTTATCCCCCACTGCTTCTGTTGGGAAGGCACAGCTGGAGATGATTCCACTCCTGTCATTCACCGGAAGCTGTCAGGGCCACTGGTATCCCGTGCGACCTTCTCTTCCATTGTATCTCTTGGAATCTAAATGGCCCCACCCCTGCCAGGCCTGGCTGGCACACAGCGGACCGACGGACGGACGGACGGACGGACGGACGGACGGGAGAACCACGTGATCTAGCTGTTTGTGTCTGGCCTGTTTGGGGGCCTTCTCTTTAAAGCGCTGAGGTAGCTGGGTTTGGGGCCAAAGTGTAACATTCCTCCTTGAGGGGAGAGAAAGGGAGGGAGGGGGAAGGGCCCAGCTGCTCTCTGCAGCCCAGGTCCTCAGGCTTTCATTCCCACCCCTGGAACATCTGTAAGAGAAGCCAGCACCCAAAGTCAGGGCTTATCCTCAGGAGGAAAGAAACCGCCGGCCATCTGGGGCCTTAGTGTTTGAGGACACAAAGTCTCTCCCTGCTCAGAAGTCCTGGCCTGATGGGGCTTCTTCAGATGCTAAGATTTCTCGAGTTTCTGTGCCTGCTGCTCTTTAGACATTGGTTTGCACCCTGAGTCAGAGTTGAGGAGAGAGAACGTTTCATCGTAGAAGATTCTAAACAGCCAACAAAGCTTACATCCTTCGGTTTTAGCAGACCCAGGTCAGGTGTGTGCCATCCACCCGGTGACCCCCTGCCCCAGGCAATGCGCAGGGAGGCCTGTGGAGAAGCTGCCCCCTTCCCCTCACCCCAAGAGGCCAGTTTTCCTGTAGAAGAGCAGTCTTTAGTTTGGGGTTTGCTCCTGTCTGGTGAAGGCGTTCTGAACTGAGGCCTCTTCCGTAGTGAGCCTCGGGTGGGTGTGGCACCCAGCACAGGCTGCCGCTTTGGGTCCAAGCAAGTGGCCTTGGTGAGTGAGAGAGGTCGGCTCAGGGCTTGTCTTTATTTTGCTGGGCGCATGGCATCTGCAGGGGACCCCCTGGGGGTCATGAATCAAGCCATAGGATGGACTCTCCTGCCATAGGGGAGGACTGATCTGGAATTCTGTGTGCAGGGAATTACATAGCCTTTGTCTTGTTGTGGGTGAGATGAAGGAACCAAGAGGTGTGAGTGGGTGGGGGGGTGGGATTAGGCCCAGAGGAGAGTCCCTTGGCACGCTGCTGCTAGGAACCCTAGGAACCCATCCTAGGATCACATTGTACCCCAATGTCCAGGTTCAGGACTGTAGCCACAGGAGCCCAAATATTCGTGTGGTTGTTAGAGAGGTCTCTCAAATGCCTGCAAAAAGACACACTTAGCAAACTGCTGGGTGGGTCGTGTGGACTAATGGAGGGCGTTGAGGAGAAAGACCTATGTAGCCCAGAACAGAACTGTAAATAGCCCTCTATCCATAGCTGAGGGGCTGGCAAGACACCGGACCCACCTGCCTCTTCAGGATGGGCAGAGAAAGGGCCAGGGGTGCTGTGCAGTCCAAATGTGGCTTCCGGTTCCTGCTCTGGCACGCACATTTTGCTCACCTACCAGGTCCTGAAGTTTTCTTACCCGGGTGGTACTGAGGGTACCCAGGGCAGCTGAGGGGAGACCTGGCTTTTGTGTGACAGGCAGACAAAAGATACCTTCAAAACGTCCCTGTGACCAGAAAAGAAAGACATCTGCACCTTCCTATTGAAAAGAACCCTCCTCTTATACCTAAAAACCATCCCTTCCCTTCCCCACATTGTGGGGTTTTTTGTTTGGTGTTTTGTTTTGTTTTTTGGGGGGGGTGATAGTTTTCTTCTAAAATGTATCAGTTCTCAAGATGAGAACTGGTCCTCCAGCCCTGAGAACTGGAAGGGTGTTGAGCTCCAGGAAGGCACAGGAGTGGCTGGCCCCGACAGTGGCCTGAGGCTGGACCTGCAGAGGACAGAGTCCCCAGCATCCTCTCTTGCCCTCTTCCCATCCTTTCCCCCAGGTCCCCCGAGTCCTCATCTTGCCACAGGAGCATCTTTGCAAAGAGAAAACCCAGGGCAAGGCAGGGTACCGATGGCACATTTCTGGGTGGGAACAAAGAAGGCCACCTCACCTGCCTAGACCCATCTAGAAGGCTGAAGCACAGTGGGGCTTCTCCGAAGGGGGGGGGTCCGTCTGGGGCATTTTGATATTACCTCATTCCATAACTCCATGTTTCCAATGACCGATGGCTTTATTTATGCTGTTTGTCCTGTAATTAAACCATCCACAGACATCCACTCCGCTCGTCTGTTCATGCGACCTTGTTCGGGTTCAATCTGCTGGTTTGGATTTTCTTGCCTTGGGATTTTGTGTCAGCTGTACAGTATTCTAAGGGGAAAAGCAAAGGAAAAGTGTGTAAAGTAACGGAGAGAGGTGGTTATAGTGTAGAGACCTCTTTCTAATAAAGAAATGAAAATATGTATATACGGCTTCTGTGACGTGTCTTCTTGGTAGCAGTTTGTCACAATTAATTGGTTTCTCACTCCCGGGAAGGTAAATCAGACAAGAGGGGCTTCGATTGCCCGAGGGAAACGTCCTAGAGACAGACCATCCGTATTTGAGGGAACCAATCCCTCAGCCTGCAGCCAGAGACCCAGAAGTGGGACCCATGAAGCTGGACAGGCGTCTCCTCCATATCTTCAAACATGGGTGGAAAGCCCAAGAGAGTGAGTGGCAATTCTGGATGCTCTGTGTGTCTCAGTATTGCCCTGCCCACCCTCCTCACCTGACGGACAGGGATGCAGTGGACAGCTAGGAGACGAATCTCGCTTGGACCTGCGCTATCAATGTGACTACTGTCAAAAGTATTACTACAGCTTTCTCACACAAAATACATTATATCATCACTCACACATTACAAAAGCAAGTAACGCCCATCCCGTACACACCTACCCTCTGCACACCTGCCCAGCCCTCAGCACCGGGTTCCAGGTAAGGAATACCCACAGGTGCCTCTGTGAGAATCCTGTCTTTGGACCCTTTCCCACGGCACAATTGAATTGCCTGTGGTACTGGGCTGCCACATGGACCATCCCAGTCATAAGACTGTGACTCCATTCCGAGGGCAGCGTGTCCTCTGGGAAATAAAGACAGGCTTTCAGGAGGTGCTCCAACACACACTGGGTTTTTCTCCCATGAGAGATTTACAAAATGGCATGAATAAACGGACGTTCCCTCTTCCTCACAGATAACCGCCTGGCCAGTTGAGGTGTGCTCTGGGCCAGGTCTCCCCCAGTCATTTGATACTGTTAGCCGCAGTGTCTAGAATGCTGTTCTCAAGGATGCCTTCCAGATGGAAGCAGAGCACAGTGAAAATCATCGCTCGTGGCTCTGTCTGTACCACTGGTCACTTAGGACCCCACAGAGGGCCAGGGTGTGTGGTTGGTACAGTGGTTGCCATGGTCTCTGCCATCCCATTCTTGTTCAGCCAACATGCACACTCGTCCTGTGGTCCGAAGAGTATACTCCTCCAGAGAGGCCATGTGAGCAGGTGGCACCAGCTCCCTCCCACCTGTCTGTCCCCAGTGCTCCAAAGTTGTAGGTCCACCTCACAGAGGTCTCCTACCCAGGAGGACTCAGCTTCTGCAGGGCCCCAGAGGTGGGCTCTGAACCCCCTTTTCAGGACAGTGCTCTGGGAAATACTCTAGGGTCAGAAGTAAAACCCTGTTTAGATACCGAGGCAGGCTTTTTGTTTGTTGTTGTTTTGTTCTAGGGATCACATCCTGAGCCTTACCCATGCTAGACAAGTGCCCTGCCACTGAGTCCCAGCCTGGCCTGTCTGTACGTTCAGACCCATGACCCACAGGGTGTGCGCAGACACTGGAGGACAACTTGGAGAGGTGGTTTTCTCCATCCACCTGGCTGAGGCGGGGTCTCTTGTTTCTTGCCACTAATGCACAAAGATCTGCTCCAGGCTAGCTGAGAGCTTCAGAGCCATCCCCCTGTCTCCTGTCTTACAGGAGCTGGAACTATAGAGGCAGGCCACCACCATCGTTTTACGTGGGTTCCTGGTGTCCGGCTGACATAGCAAATGCTTTTACCCTGGCCCACCAGCCACCCACGCAAGACTCAGGCCCTTGTGCAAACAGTTGTACAAATAGTGAGGGACTTTATGCGGAATGTGAGAGTCTCCCAGCTCTTCCCTCGACCACAGATCCAGGCGACACACATGGTTGTCACTGTGGGTCCAGCCCAGAGCATGCAGAAGAGCTGACTGAATCTACCACTTGGGAATCCTAGGAGAGGATGACCTCTGACCTCAGCATGTGAGATGCTCATCACTGTGCTCCTTACAAGAAAACTGGACAGACTCTCAGGCCAACATATAAAGGGGGGGATGAGGATGGCACTGTTGGCTGGGGCCTGGGGGCCTGGGATATAGACATAGAGTACTTGCCTAGTGTGAATGAGACCCTGGATTCAACCCCAGTGCCTCCACCACCGCCACACACACCCCCCAAAACACATTAGAGAGAGAGAGAGACGAGAGAGCTTGGGGCTGAAGATGGAGCTCATTTGGTAGAATGCCTCCTTAACATGCATGAGGCCCAGGGTTTGAACCCCAGGTGTAGGTATCAAGTTCCGGTGATCCCAAGCACTTCAGAGATGGCTGGCAGAGGTGTGAAGTTCAAGGTCATCTTAAGCCACATAACAAACTTGAAGCCAACCTGAGCCACCTGGGAGCCTGCCTCAAAGTGTGTTTGTCACTCGAGGGAGTAATATAAATAAAAACGAAGGGTGCAAGGTATGGTTAAGACTGACCTCCGTAAATAACCATTTAATATATTGGGGGATTCAGAACGTTGACGGAGTTCTGAGTGTTCCGAATTCCGAGTTCTTTCCTTTATCCTTCTCTCCAAAGGCATGTGAAGAGTTTCAGTACAGGCCGAGGCTCTTGGTCCCCCGGCAGTGAGGAAAGCGCTTGGACTGTTTACTAATATACTGTTCACTCATGCTGAGATTGGTGAGCCAATTGGCTAATTGATTATTTTGTTACGGAAACAAATTGATTAGGAATTAGGAGGCATTAGGGTGAGGGGCAAAGCTTAACAATCCCAAGGGCTGAGGCTCCATCTGGTCTCCACAGCAGCCTCAGCATGTGGCCAGAACCATCCAGAATCATGGGCCTGCCGGGGACCTCCTCAATCCCTGGACCTGGATCCAAGTGCATGGACACGTTTCCCTGCTTCCAATTCCTCGGCTCCCACAGGGCCCCAGGCTGGCTCTGAATGTTCTGCCCTGGCCACCCTTGCCCCTCACAGCTTGGCTCCATAGCTAATCTCTCTTGTCCTGAGCATCTAACCTGGTTTCTCCTTACTGGAAACTCCTTCATGGTTCCGTTATTCTGAGGGTTCTGTCCCAAAGTCTTAACACCGCAAGCTCCATCACCTCCTCACAGCCTCCTCCTCTTCTCCCTGCCCCTTGCTTGGCTGTCCTTGGCCGACCCTCCCACACCCTGGGTCTGCAGCTCAGGACCCTCTGCCCACCATTTCTCCTACCCTGGAAGGCCCCACCTGCCAGCCAGTGCCTTCCCTTGAGGGGGTCTCAGATAAAATGGCTCTTCCTCAAAGGTGACACTTAGTGACCTGACCTCCACGGAGCTCTGGAAGCTGCCACTGCAAAGCCCTCACGAGGTCTCAAGTCTTCTGTGGCACCTCCTGTCAGCTCCAGGAAGCCAGTCTGTCAGGGCCATCCTGGGAGCCAGGGCCCAGCCCGTGTTTCCACGTGGGCACAGGAAGGAGAGGCAAACACAGGCTTTGGCTCCCTTGCAGCATGTGCATGGTGAGCGTCCAGTTACAGAAACCCTTCCGTGTAGGTCAGTTCAGGAAACCAACCTCAAGTGTGGCTGTGGCAGGGCTGAGAAGGAAACTGGTCCGGAGGCAGCCCTTCAAGATGATGCTGAGAGCCATCTGCCCCGCACTGGGGACAGTCCTCCTGTGGTTCTCACTACCCTCCTCCCCCGTGACCCTCAGCACTTCAGCCCAGCTTCAACCATGCGGAGCCCCCAGCGCCGAGACACCATTGTTGATATACAAGACTCTGGGGTCTCACCTGCCCATCCACATGGGTGTCTGCCCCCTCTCCAGGGTCCCACTACCCCACCCCCACCCCCAGCCTGTCCTGTCCGGTATGTCCTGTGGCCTCACAGATCACCGCACAGTCGCCTCTGGACGAAAGCTTCCCGGTCTGAACCAACAAGAACAGAAAGAGTTACACCCAGCCCGCTGTCTCCAGCACGTTCCAAGCAGCGGCTAAGCCACAATTTATCACCACGAAAGTCCGGTAAGGCGCCTAATTGGCCCATAAATGTGGTCCAGTAACCGCACCTGACACCCAAAGACACTGCAGGCAATTAGCACTTATTTATTTGCATATGGTATTGACCGATCTTGGCAACTAGCTCGAAAGATCTGTTGAATTTAAACGCTGGAGGGAGAAAGAAAACCCTCATTTACTACATGAGAGAGGAACTGCCATCACACATACATACAGGGTGCACACATACATACAAGTGTGCACACATACATACAGGGTGCACACATACACACATACATACAAGTGTGCACACATACATACAGGATGCACACATACATACAAGTGTGCACACATACCTACAGGGTGCACACATACATACAAGTGTGCACACATACATACAGGGTGCACACATACATACAAGTGTGCACACATACATACAGGATGCACACATACATACAAGTATGCACACATACATACAGGGTGCACACATACATACAAGTGTGCACACATACATACAAGTGTGCACACATACATACAGGGTGCACACATACATACAAATGTGCGCACATACACACAAGTGTGCACACATACCTACAGGGTGCACACTAGCAGGCACAATGGGACTGCCCAAGGAAGCCGGGGGCTTGATTTGTGAGCAGGGCCCTCCCATGTCTTGCCTTTCAACCTCCTGACTGCACAGGCCCCAGCAATGGCCAGTCTGTCCTCAGGCTGCAGAAGTAGCTGAGAACACAGGGTAGCCCGGATGGCAGCCTGTGTGTGTGACGTGGGCTGGGAAAATACAACATCTTGGCCTCGACAAGCTGCCTCTCAGACCATACTGCTCATCCCATCTGCAGAGCGTTCCAGAACGCCAGGCCATCAACTTCTCCCCCCACCTAAGAGACTGACATGGAGACTTTTTCTCCTCCCGTGCTTGAGATGAGGCTGAGGGTCTTGCAGGTGCTAGACCAGTGCTCTCGACCACGGAGTCACACGGAGTCACACCTCCGGCCTCTGGAACAGAAATGGCAATGTCACCTTGGGTCAACAAAAGACCGTGTTTATTAGCAAATGCAAACTCCCTTCAAATTCCTACTTTGAGAATGTTTTAACTTTTATTTACATTCTATTTATATATTCTATGTATAAGTATGGGTGTGGGGGTACATCCCACCATGTGGGCACCAGAACTCAAACTCAGTTTGTTGGTTTTGGGGACAAGAACTGGTAACCTTCTTTGCTGCCTCAGGGGGCCCTTGAAAATGTCTAAGTCAAGCCGGGTGGTGGTGGTGGCGGCGGCGGCGGCGGCGGCGGCGGCGGCGGCGGCGGCGGCGGCGGCGGTGCACGCCTTTAATCCCAGCACTTGGGAGGCAGAGCCAGGTGGATCTCTGTGAGTTCGAGGCCAGCCTGGGCTACCTAGTGAGTTCCAGGAGAGGTGCAAAGCTACACAGAGAAACCCTGTCTTGAAAAACCAAAAAGAAAAAAAGAAAAAGAAAATGTCTAAGTCTGTGGAGGAACTGGAGGATAGAATATCTATCCAAGAACACCCTAAGGTGCCTGTGGTCATTTGAATGTAATAGCCCTCATAGGCTCACAGGGACTGGCACCATTAGGAGGTGTGGCTTTGCTGGAGTAGGTGTGGCCTTGTTGGAGGAAGTGTGTCACTGTGAGGGCGGACTTTGAGGTCTCCTATACTGAGGCTTCTCCCAGTAACACAGTCCACTTCCTGTTGCCTTCGGATCAAGATATAGCCAGCACCATATGTATGTCTGCCTGTACACCACCATGTGCTCTGCCATGATAATAATGGACTGAACCTCTGAAACTGTAAGCAAGTTACCCCAATTAAATGTTTTCCTTATAAGAGTTGCTGTGGCCGGGCGGTGGTGGCGCACGCCTTTAATCCCAGCACTCGGGAGGCAGAGGCAGGCGGATCTCTGTGAGTTCGAGGCC